GAAAGAATATTTTCTCCTTTGGACTAATTCATTCCAAATTGAGAAGTCGTTTGGGACCTGAAAAAGCAGGAAAGCTTGTTTTTCTTTTCCAGATTACGAACAAATAGGAAAATGAAGGTGAAGAGGACTGAGGTAGCTGCAGAAGCCAATTATTTTAAGTTTCTCATGTTGACCAGGCTGACACAGTCTAATTTAGTTTGTTTTAGTTTTTTAAAATTCTAATTTAATTATTTTAGTTAAAAACTAATTTTAACAAAAAAAAACCTGGTTTTTAAAAATCTTGAATGTTTAACTAAACTCAAAAATTCATATGCTTGTTTTGTTAAAATATTATATGTTTGCTGTTGAAGAAAAAAAATCCAGAATATATAACGTTGTTGTTTTAGTTAAATAAAACAATTTAAATGTCTGTCTGGTGATGTTCTCCTCCCAATACAGCATGGCAAGAAAATCCTCCAAATATTAATGATTAACCTGTTGAATTGGAGATTGTTTACCTCCCAATGACTTCATAAATATCTGCTTCAATTACCTTTGGTAAATGAAATAACCAAACAATCATTCATTTTCCGATATAACTATAAAACTAATCTGAAAAGTTTTCAAAATAAATCACTTTAAAAATGTATAGGGTGTCCCTTCTAAAAAAGAAACCTACATCTATCTCTGAGTTGTGAAGAATACGTATTAAGGTTATAACAACCAACAAGAATGCACTTTTATGTAGAAATCCATGATTAAATCGTGTCTTCCTAACTAGTGATTTAAATCATGATTTAAAAAATCAAATCGACCCTGTACAGCAATCTAAATTTTCTTGCCTATTTCCCTTCCAAAACTGAAGTGGCACAACTGTATCTTCTTCAACCCTAACCTTCCCCACAAGCTGACAGGCTCAATCTCCAAAAGATGCAATTTTCACATTAGAACTCTGTACTAGATATACCTTAAATCATTTTAAAATCTTCAAGTAGCACAAACATACCAACAGTATAAAAACTCACTTGTTCTTAAGAAAATAAGATGTTGCCTTCAGATGTTGCAGGACACTGGTGGGATCCTTAAACTTGTTTAATAAAATGTCTTGTAGTGTATCAGCGCAAATCTGTAACAAACAGACTATTCCATTAGAAGAACAGTACAGAACTTCCTGAAAAAAATTGTGTGTTCTCTGTATTTGTTTGTACATCTGGTAAATCCTCCTAGAGTTCTCCAGGTACTTCACATGCAAATCTTAATAAACAACCAAATGGCCAGAAAAAACTCACTGGACTAAGTATGCCAAGGTGGTTGTGGTGTGTAGATGTGTGAAGAAGCAGCTGTTTACCATGGAGCAGGATTTGAAGTATTCTGGTTTAGAACTGATACTAACTAGAACCTGCAGAGACACGCACACTGAAAGGCAGAGGATTTAGGATAAACCCTTAGTGCTCCACAGTAAGTAAATAAAAACAAGCAAAAATAAATCCCACTTGCCATTGTTTGAGGATTATGGATCATGCAACTGGCATATTCCAGGCCACAAAACATAATTCCAATATTCCAACATGCAGGCTACCAACCTCTGCCAGTAGTTCTACCTTGTGACAAAGGTAGAACAGTCTCTCCCAAAATTACCAGTCCCCTAATGTCAGAAATGTTAAACAAAAAATACACTAATGTCTTGAACTGCATCTGGTTTAGTGAAGTTTTCTGCCACCAAAATACAGTACAGTTATGATGGTTTATTTGTTCAGATACCTTTGATAACTTTGGATAAATAAACTGTGGATTTAGCGCTCTGATCAGAAGTTGCAACCTTATGCAGGACATCTGCCAAAAGGGTTACTTCTGCCATGACCAGTACTTGTTAAAAGGATTAGAAGAAATATTGAGGTACTCACCAATCTCCTTAAATGGTTTCAGAAAGGTGAATTTGATGGCAGCTCTAAATATAAGCGAAACACAGCGTCATCTATCAGTCACCACAAATGTATGAGACAAACTAAAAAGGAAGGTATGTACTATAGTGTTGAGCAGCAGACATACTGTAAAACAAGCATTCTGAATATTTGTGAGAATTACCATTGTTGCACCTGGAACAAACACATGTAATTTGATTCAGTGAATTACTCGTTCCAAAAATGTGGCACTATTTATTGAAAAATGTATCTTCTAATAGACAAGCAGTATACTTGTAGAAAAAAAAGTACGGTTGTTGTCATTTTGTTGCAGTAATATGAAATGACTATTTTTAAATAATCAATTAAAGATCATTTTAAGTGAGAAAAGGTGTTAAGAGGACGTCAATTTATTCTAAGTTTATGCAATACATACAGATTGAACACAGAAGTGTGATCACAGAGTATATTTGTACTATTAATGGGAATTATGCAATAAATTGCTTCTTCAGTGCCACAGGAGTGGGAATATCACACTAAGAGGTAGAATCTAATGAAACTATTCTGTTTTCAAGAGGAATCATAGGGGAAATGATTAGATGGTCGTAAAAGTTATTTACGTTTATTTATTAGAAGCCTGACGTCTTTAATTTGCTTGTAATTCTGCTAATAAGTCAAGCTTTTTTCTCTTACATTTTTTGTGCCCATTTAGACAAGAAACTGCAGAAGCATCAGGGGAGGAATTCTCTTTAGCAAGTAAAATCACACTACTAGCCACAATTTGTCAAATCTTAAACAGCTTGTAAGTTTGGAATTTACCAACTCTGAGTCATTTTATTTTGCAGCAAGTGGATGTTTTCCTCTTTGTATTTCTCAATATGTAACAATCAAAGTAAAACAGCTACCACTCAGTACCATGAAGATACAAAGATATGGCTGGATCATTGATGAGACAGGATTACTCATGGGTACAGGTTCTCCCTCATATGCATCAAACATATTAGTTATGATAAGGGATCCTAGAAATCCATTTGCCACAGAAAAATGCAGAATTTGCATTTTTCAAGAATATTTAGTTTTTACATTTTGTGAAAAAATAAAAACATATTAACTACATTTTACTGAAAGTACCAGTGTCACTTACTCAATGCGCACAACCTTCTCCTCTTGTTGTTGATTTTTGAATGCACTTTAAATTTACGTACAGTAGAACCCCGTTTATCCAAGCCTCCATTACCCGGCTCTACGTGTTAACCGAACCACCAGCTGCCCGGGTCTGACAGCGGCAGGGCTTGGGCGATCAGCTCCAGGCAGCTGGTGGTTTGGTTAACACGGAGAGCTAGATAATGGAGGCTTGGATAAATGGTGTTCTAATGTATACCAATAAAACATTGTGTTCAACAGATGGCTATACATATTGTGGCTAGGGAAACTAAAGTTCAGCATCCATTCTATTTGCACAGATTTTTATGGGGGTTTTAATCAGAGAACATTGGATTTTTTAAAATCACAAAAAACTAGGATCCCTAGTTATGATTGGCCAAAACCCTTTAGTCACCCAGTCAGGGCCACCCATAATGTATCAGTACTGACAGGCTGTGGGGGAAAAAAAACTAGGAACACTCATGCCATCTCTCAGAAAATGAATGAGAGTAACCATTACTACCTTTGCCCTTTAAAAAAAATCGATCAAAAGGATGCAATGACATGTTACCAGTGAATGAGACTTCCTGTCATTAATGACTAATTCTGACTACCAGAGCCAAAATGCCAGTGAGTTACCACTGGTGATATTCTGACTAGCAGCAATGGGATATTTAGAATATGTCAACAAGTCAATGCACTGTGATGGAGAATATGGAGAGGTTAATGTAAGAGGTACACAGTTTACACATAAGCTCTACATTCATCAACTCCTTAATTGCATATAATCTTCCACCCTTTGTCATACACTTTTAGAGTATTTAATTGATACTGGCTTGTATAGCCTCTCCTTTTTTTAAAGTAACAAAGCATCCATCTTAAGCAGTTTGCCCACATCCTCTGAAAGTGAGGTTTCCTGTTCAACTGGGATTGCATGTAAAAATACAGCGAGACAAGAATAAGCCCTATTTACATGTGCATGCAAGATAAAAACAAAACTAAAATGATGTAATTTTATCCATGAGAGAAAAAACACTCTCTAAGTACTTGTATGACTCCTCCTCCCTCACTGCTGTATACGAGTACCTCTCAAGTATTTAAAAATAGAAACAAATAGCTCCCTCTCCCCCTTCCTTCCTAGCATGTAGGAGAAATTACTCGGTTAGTTTACAGGATGTGTTTGTGTGTGGATTTCATTGGTATGTGGAAATTGAGGGAAAGTTAAGTTGAATCAATAAGTTTTGCATTTAGTTCTGAAAATGCTACGGTCTATAGTCATTTTTGCTTAGGGAGAGAATTCCATAGTTTACATTCAGCTCCTTTGAAAGATCTGTATCCTGCACTCACTCTCCCCCTCCCCCACTGGATTACAGTTTCATGGTTCCAGTGAAACGGAACTGTTGTGGAAGCAACCTCTCAGGTAGCCAGAACCAATCCCATGGAGGGCTCTGAACACCTCTCAAATTCAGAGTTCACAATATACAGATCTACACTTCACTAACCTACATCACTTGGCATTTCCCCTCCTCCTGCCTTTAGCTATTTTCCCAAGAGTTTCACTTTCCATGGTGTTGGCACACTGTATCCAGGGGCCATAGAGATAACAATTTTTAATGGCCTATCATTTTGTGTTTTCTCAGATGGGATGTATGAGTTGGTGGCAGTGCAAAAGCAGCACTACCTGTCATTTGCTGCACACTAAGGAGACTTAAGTGTTGAATCCCTTCCACTAACTGGGACCTGAAAATCCAGTTTTAGATCTGGAATCTTCCAGTCGGCAAGATACCAGTGTTGGAGGTAATAATTCCCATTTTCCTTCAACAATATTAAACAGGGGTGTGTGAGATTTATAGCTATACTATCCTGACTTTAATAATAACTTTGGCATATAATATTACCCAGCTCTCATATATAGGGTGACCAGATAGCATATATAGGGTGACCAGATAGCAACTGTGAAAAAACAGGACGGGGGGTGGGGGGTAATAGGCGCCTATATAAGAAAAAGTCCCAAAAAACGGGACTGTCCCTTTAAAAATGGGACATCTGATCACCCTACTCATATAGCACTTTTCATCTATAGATTGCAAAGTGCTTTACAAAGGAGGTAAGAATAATTACCTCATGTGAGTAAACAGAGGAACAGCGAGTGGATGTATCTTAGCCAAGCTCACTCAGCATGTCAATTAGTGGCAGAGCCAGGGACAGAACCAGATTTCTTATTTCTATCCACTGCTCTATCCACTAGAGGACACTGCCTCCCAGTACAGTATAACGAATGTGCTGTACCCCCACCCCCCACCCCAAAACGAAACTTTTGGATCTTGCTCTGTTGCAAAAAAGAATGTTACGTTACACCACAGCTTTACTGATGAGGGGATTCACAAACATTTCCCCTACCAGCCACATATATGCAAATCAGTTGCATCAAAGTATTTTTACAGACAGAATTTGTTTCAGAATATTTCACTATTTAATAGATGCCTTTAAAAACCCTTTCTGAACCTTGCCCATTTTTATACTTTGGCTAGGGAGCGTTCAGTGAGGAGCATAATTTACAGTGATGTTGAACGTACCTATTCAAATTACTTGCAGACTTAATTCACTGCAATTGTCTCACGCAATGCAAACACAATAACTGAAGGAAACTGAATATATATATTTAATCTCAATATAGAAATTGAAACAATATTTGCTGCCTAATGCCATAAGTTCTAATACTTCCGTCTTTATGGGAAGTTACTGAATCACACTCTTCATAGTATAAATATCTTCCTGCTCAGAAACCTTCGTGCACATTCTCTTTCCACTGGTATACTGCAGGAATGCTAAACAACAAGGACTTCCAGTAGTTACTTCAAGGTCAGTGCAACATTTTTTGTTTAAAAGCTACTGATGATTATTTTTAGCTCTTGGTGATACATTTCAGTTTGAATTTGCTGCAGCTCCTAAAAGATTCTTATGCAATAGGAGACAAGTGCCAGTGAACAACTGTCCATCAGCAATCAATTCTTTAATAAGTGAATTATTCTCAAATTGCTGTTTGTATGTGGATGAATGGTGCCACCATGCGACCTGCTGAATTCACATTCAGCTGCAGCAAACAGCATATAACCCCTCAATATTTCTTATTACTTGTTTCTGTGGCTGTTGTTTTCTTGAAAGAAAACTTGCAAGTAAGAGTTTAAATTATTAGGGGGACAAAAGGGGATCCTGAAATCCAAACTAACTTGAAAAAGCTAGAGATAAGTTTTGCAGCACAGTTACTAAACTCTGTCCCATCTAACTGTTTACCACTAAAAATAGAGTGTATTGTCCATGAACTTTGGTCCTAAAACATCTCTCATCACTTATGCTAAAGATGGTTATCCTGTCTGGTCTTTGATCCCTATTCTACTGATATTAGAGGCTTGGACTTGGGCCATGGGTCTCGAGATAAGATCATTTTCCTTCAAACCACCAAGATTACTTCTGCCTATTTACAGAAGAACAGTTCACGTTCTGTCAACAGCTTCAATACCTTGAGGTTACTAAAATGGAGAGACTTACTGCCTTTCAGGGACATAGAACTGAGTGTCATGGGTACGTCTGGCATAGTGTTATTCAGCAAATTAAAATACACACATTATAAACCAGTCAGCCACATGAACTTTATATTAATATACTAACTTTTTCTTCCCTTTCTTGTCTATCACTTGACATATTCTATCTAAGGTTACGCCTTGTGTTGCATGTCTCTTTGAAAATTGTGCTTACATTTTTCTAGGTTAAATCTCCTACCCATACATTTAACCTCCGTGGGCTCCTTCATAAGGTTTCAGTAGGGTAACCATACGTTCTGTTTTGGCCAGGACAGTCCCTTTTTTAACCCCTGTCCCGGCTGTCCTGACTTTTTCAGAAGAAGTGGGTCAAATGCCCACTTTTGTCAAAAAAAGGGGATGCAGAGGAACATGTGGAGGAGCCGGGGGTGGGGGGGAGCAGTGATGCCAGGCTCATGCAGGCTCTCAGCGGCGAGCAGGCAGGGCTTGGGCGAGCAGGGACGCCAGCCCCATCCAGGGAGTGGGAAGCAGGGCTCGTATGAGCAGCTCAGGCCAGCCCTGCACGGGGAAGGCGCGGATGAGCGGCTTGGGCTAGCCTAACGCAGTGACCCATTTTCCCTTTGGGAAATATGGTCACCCAAGGTTTCAGTGTTCTCACTCACTAGCATTTACAACATTCAGTCCCATATAATGGCTAACAACAGAGTCAGGTCAGCTTAGGGGAACTCTAGGTTAGCAGAGCCGTCTTAATTTTGTGCACTATACATCTATAGTGTATGCTATTCAGTAAAAACTTTTAAAATATTAAAAACACATTGCTATGCTTGTTCACAATCGGTCCTTATTGCTAATATGCTTATTTGCCAATACTGGAGGTTGTGAAATTGACACCATCAGATTTATGGCTCTTACTATGCAACAGGACAGACACACACATGATCACTTATTAGACTTCTGACAGTGGAATCAGTTTATCATAGCTAAATATGTGATGGATTGAAATAGGACATCTGTTAAGAAGTTGGTAAGTCTCTGTCAGTAAAATGTTATTTAAAATACTTTCACCACATCACCTTATGCAAGGACAGGCCACATCATGTGGCATGAAATGATGCAATGGCACAACATTTTTAGGCTACATCTCTAACGAGTACATACTGATGCTAAGCACTGATCCCTTCTTGTGTCAAATTTTTAAAAATAGTAGCTAAACTCATAAAGCAATAACCTGGTATTTAATTTCCCTTTTCCTGATGTCAGTAATGATGATTGTTGAAGAAATGTAAATGTCTTCTTCATTCAGTATTATTTTTGGTGTTTTTGTATTTTTCTAGAAAAATCAGTAAAGAAAAAAATTAAAAGCTAAAACAAAAAAACAATTCCTGTTCTTCAGGCTAGAGGGACTCACCCATAACCTGTTCAACAGGATTATAAATACAGCTATTTGCCCAAGTTTTGCATCTTAACTGCTTCCAAAAGAATCACCCATCCAGGAAGTTGCTATGGAACACAAAACAAAAACAAAAGTTTCCAGTCATCAGGTTACAGCAGGAGCACTCTGTATACACAGACCTTAACTAAACTGTTCACTGTGTACTTTAATTTCTGCTAACTAAACTGCCTCCTCAAAAGCTGTGCAAACCACGGATCCCAAAATTTGAGACAATTGTTTCAATTACTTTGGTTTTCATCAGAGAGTGGCTGTTGCCCTCAGTTCTCCTACCACAACCATCAATCCTACCTCTTCTGCCTAACACAGTGCTTGTATACACAGGGAAACTGACCAACACAGACACTGCTTTAGCTATGTCGTTATAACTCCCCCATGTGGACATTAGTCTAGAATAATTACTTGCTACAGCTAGGCTGGTCTTTTCCCCCCATGTAAACAAGCAAACAGTTCCTATTGGAGTCTGCCAACATTGCTTCTAGAAGGATTAGTTTGTGGGGGAGGGAGAGTGAATCAGCAGATAGGAAGGATCACGAGACACCTGAGCATACTTCCAGACTTGCTGGCCCAGGAATGAGGGGACTGAGTTGAAGGTCCACATCTCTGATGCCCACATAGTAGAGCACTGCATCACTTCTAGACTACTGTGCTATCCCATTACTTTTTAAAATAAACTTAATGATTCTAAAGTTTAAATAAAACTGTAGGCAATTCATTTTTGTTTCCTTGTATTTATAGTTTATAACTCAGAGAAAGTGCCAAGCTGACTGAATTAAAACTAAAATCTACTTGTCCTCAAAACAGAAACAAGGCCAATTGCAGTAACAACTTCCCCACTCAACAGTGTGCCTCAACTCTGAGGCTAGGTCTACACTACCCGCCTGAATCGGCGGGTAGAAATCGACCTCTCGCGGATCGATTTATCGCATCCCGTTGGGACGCGACAATCGATCCCCTAATCGACGCTCTTACTCCACCAGCGGAGGTGGGAGTAAGCGCCGTCGACAGGAAGCCGCGGAGGTCGATTTTGCCGCGGTTCTCACAGCGGGGTAAGTCGGCTGCGATATGTCGAATTCAGCTACGCTATTCACGTAGCTGAATTTGCGTATCTTAAATCGACTCCCCCCTGTAGTGTAGATGTAGCCTGAGTCAGGAGAGACAACCTGTGGGGATGAATAGACATTCAATCCTTAAAAAGTGACAAAGAGTCCTTAGCCGCTCTGCTGAGATTGCCAGTTACATGCATTTATACCCCATAGTATCAGAGTCACAACAAGCGTGCCAATTAGTATGAGTTGTCATGATGGTTTTTGTGATGAGATACCCAGAACTCAAAAAGTTTACCAGACATCTAAGAGCCAAAGGTAAATCAAAAAGACAAAGGGGTGGCCTTACTAATAAAATCGAAGGGCAGGGCTCTGGTAAGAAGCCCCAGATGCTAGTGAGGGTGCAGGGATTTCTAACAAGGTATTCCATCTTTTATAATCATCTGCTGACTAGGAGGTATCTGATAAATCTAAAGTTCCACCCTCTACATGCTGGAAGTTTGAAGGAATTTTGTCTCCGTCCCTGAAGAACCTCTGGGTCTATCAGAAGGGATCTCTGCTATTCAACCCTTGCTTTTTTTTTTTTTTTTTTGCTTTCTCTGTCCTTGTGTGTCTCTGGTGATGATATAGTTTTTTCAGGCAGGAGAAATATGAATTTGACATGATTCTTGAGAGCTACACTGCTGTTTACAAGATTTTGAATAGTAACAATGAAACTGACCAGTCTTTTAATTCTATTCTGCTGCTTGGTAAATTTGTGAAAACTCAGGAAAACAACACTGTGCATCAATCAGCTCACATTCAGTTCACATTTGGATGGTTATGTTCACAACAGTAAGAGGTAGAAAATTCTTCTTCTTCTTTTTTTTTTTAAATAAAGCTTAAATTCTGGAAAAACTGATACCTTTGGGCCCCACACTCACCAGCAAAAATGTCCCACTTGCCAATGGATTGTGAATGCCTTGACTTTCAAATGTTTGTATTTATGATGGATTTTTAAAACACAAATGACACGATTGCATCCTAAGTTGCATCTATTAAAAAGCCAAATAAAAATGTAAACTATTATTTTAAAGTCAGAGCCTTTCTGGAATGGCCTCACCATTCTTTACTAAACTGAAGTCATACTTTCTTCCATGGGAGTAAGAATATTTAATAAAAGAATTCAATTATACTTAAAAGTGAGCTGCAAGTTGTTTAATCAAAACTCACTCAACCAGTAATGAACCCAATGGCCACATAATAGGGGCACTTACCATATTATTTTAAAGTTAACATTTTTCTCTCTAAAAAGTAAATTCTCCTGTGCATTCATTTGGCTTGCAGTTTTCATTATTTAGTTTTGTTTTGTTTTTTCTATCTAGTTATTCAACACATTCAGTAAGTTACATAAAAATCAAAGGTTCAGAAAGGACAGCAAATCCTGGCAAAACAAAAACACTAATCAAACTGCAGTATCTGCTGATGTGCAGTGTCTGCTGCTATCAAAGCACTTCTGCCACAATACCAAAAAGGTCAGGCAATTGATGATGGTGAGACCAACAGGCAAATGCGGATAACTGATATTTTACCTGATCTTAAAAATAACTTTAAAAGCTAGCATTTGTAAAAATATATATATATTTGATTGTGTCCTTCTCCCACCATATTTCATATGCAATTTGTCTTCTTAGGCCAGACCCTGCCAACACTTACACACATGTTTAACTGTGCACATGAGTAGTCCTACTGACATAAAAGCGTAAAGTTAAGCACTTACATAAATATATGCAACATTGGGGTCTTGGACTGTAAGATTTTCAGGACAGGAACTTATATAAATAGCAGTTGCATCAGAAAAATTAAGCTTTAAAACCAATTAGAGAACACTAAAATTGTAATTGTCACATTTTGCAAAACTAAAGCTTTCTTCAAATATCTTTTTTCTTTCAATTCCATTATAGCATTACTTGGTCTTATTTTATGTAGATGTTTAATACCAAGTGACACTTCTCCAAAGCTAATTATTATTTTAAAAAACACTTTTTTTTTCCAATGAAGGCTAGTGCCCAAAAGAATGAACAGCAATACCCAGATTTCCTAAAAATGCCTTGAGAGGCAATTCACAACACCATGAGGAAGAGTGGTCAGAAACTGTACCAAAAAAAAAATAAAGGGTCAAAGCACTTAGAGCTATTGTGACCACATACAGTCACATTGCAATGTTATTAAGAATGTCAGTTGCTGCAATTTTTCCTTCAGATTCTTTACTATACATTTTAGAGCCTTCCCATAGTATCTCTTTTCCTTCCTATTGTGTTAGCCTCTTTTCTGTCTTTCAGGCTAAAGAGCAGTGCTCATAGTAAGCATTACTTATAAACTTTTATTTGATCCTTCTTGGCGCTGCTGAACAAAAATATTAGACTTTCTCACAACTTGTTTTGATATATTACTAGTCCCTCACAATCCACACAAGGTTTTAGAAAATGTTGGAAGACAAGCTGCCAAAATATTCTAGTGAATAAAAATAGCATTAAATGGTAGGAAAACAACCCAAAACAAAATGCAGCCACGTTGTTTATTTTGGTATTAAAATAGTTAAAAGGTGGAAAGCAGCTTTCAAGGAAAGAAATGGAAAAAAAGAAACTACAGTGAACTCCCACTGTGAGAGATTTCGGGCTTGTCTACATGGGGAAATTATCCCAGAATAAGAAAGGGCGTGCATTTAAAGCACAATAGCTATTCTGGAATAACTCTCCGTATGAACATTTTTATACTGGAATAAGTATCCATACTGGGTCCTATTGCAGAATAACTTATTCTGGCCCACTTCCCTGTATAGACAACTCCTTAGTGATGTGAGGATAGTGCTCAAAGCTATTAAAATCAGTGGGGCAGAATCTCCATTGCTCTTGAGCTACAATTGCCAGAAGGTAGCTCTAAATTACGCTCAAATGCAACAGTCCTCTAGGAGCTGCTCCAAAGCCAAGAATAGCCTTAACTATACAGTGTACTCTGGCCCCATCTGCTGCACTGGGGGCTGTGAGGAGGGAGCAGCATAACTCTATTCTGGCAGTTCTATGGCACTGAAGAAAAAACCTTACACCAGGAGTATTCTCTGGTGGCTGGAGCTGCCCTTTATGTTGCTCTGGCAGTGTAAAAGGGCTGCAGAATACAACAGAATTTAGCCCACTGAATTTACAAGTAAAAGACTTCTTCAGTCATCTAATCATTCCTCTGCCAGTGCAGGACTGTTCCCTACTGTATGTATTAGATTATCAGATTAAAAACTATTTTAAAATCTATGCCTGTATTGCTAATATCATTTTAGGCTATTACAAAAATTAAAATTCAAACCTTTCACCATTGGTGTGGTTGGTTTTCTCCCCCAATACACCTTTCTCTTTAACTCACAAAGTGAGTGTCCAGGCAGTTTCACTTTTTGATGCTCATGCACTAGCATGATTCTATAATATTTGAGTTGCAAACACTGCACTACTTTCATAGCTTATTAAAAATACAGAACATACAGCACTGTTAATAAAACTTAAGAACATAAGAATGGCCCTACTGGGTCAGACCAAAGGTCCAGCTAGCCCAGTATCCTGTCTTCCGTCAGGGGCCAGTGCCAGGTGCCCCAGAGGGAATGAACAAAACAGGTAATCATCAAGTGATCCATCCCCTGTTGCTCATTCTCAGCTTCTGGCAAACAGAGGCTAGGGACACCATTCCAAACTTACTGGTTTGTAATTTAAAAACAACAAAGCACAGAACTAAAACTAAATTATAAGGTTTGGACTACACCACAGATTTATGTCAGTATAACTACATCGCTCAGGGGTGTGGAAAATCCACACCCGTGAGCAACAGTTATACCTAGAGCCCTGAAAATTTGCTGATACCCCCTTTATATCGGCGGATATCTGCATCTGTTTGCGGATCACGGATGGATGTGGATCCAAATTTTATATCTAGAGCTCTGCAAATCTGCAGATATCCACTTTATACCTGCATTCGCAGGTATCTGCAGACCATGTTTGCGGATCGGATTCGGATACAAATTTTGTATCTGTGCAAGGCTCTAGTTATACCGACCGACCTCCTGGTGGAGACAACCCTATGTCGATGGGAGGTCTTCTCCTGTTGACATAGTTACTGCCTCTTGAGGTGGAATACCTATGCCCATGGGAATGTAAGTAGCATCTTCATTAAGCGCTACAGCTGCGCTGCAACAGTGCTGTATGTGTAGACAAGCTCTTAGTATGTAACAACTGAACCCCAATCTCGACTGGGGCTTCTGGATGCTACCACAGTACAAATCTTAAATGGCAGTACCTTTTAAAATGAGATGTCTACCATTTCTTTTCAAAGACTATTTCAGTCTAACAGATCACCTCACTGTTAGAAAGAACAGGAGTACTTGTGGCACCTGAGAGACTAACAAATTTATTAGAGCATAAGCTTTCGTGGACTACAGCCCACTTCTTCGGATGCGTTTTTCCTGATAGACAACATTTTCTTAATTCTACCCCATTATACTTAGTTCCCTTTTTGTTCTGCCAAAATGTAACTCCTATGCCTCCTTAGGCCAGGTCTACACTACCCCCTAATTCGAACTAAGGTACGCAACTTCAGCTACGTGAATAACGTAGCTGAAG